CTAAATTGGACACTCACTGAGGGAAAAACTAAGTATTATACCTCTTAATTAGTACCACAACATGAAACACACTGTCCTATATATCTGGTATATAACATGTAAAGTATTTATTAATATTAACTATATTATGTAAAAATTGTTTTGATATTCTTACCTATAGCGGTAATTTTGCAATAAAGTATACTAAAAATTCAGTATCTCGGGGGGAAAAAAAGTCTGAGAGATATAAGAGATAAAGGAACTACCATTATGCATGGCTGGCAATGTGGCACTGGTTAGCTTTTTTATACTTCATCATGTTTAATTATTAATTAATCAAGAATCACTTGGAAATGTAAGTTCAAGAAATATGAAACTAAGTTGTCACTAGACCTATTTTCAGATATCACTTTATATAGAAAAACAGCATATGTTTCTTTAAAACAGTGTTGTATAATGCAAAAGGGACTGAAAGATAAGGATAAAGATAAAATATTAAGGAGCACATAACATTCACTTTGCAATTTCTAAATGCCAACCAAAGTACTAAACAGTTTACATCTGTTATCTCCATTCTAATCCTGTCCCTAGAATTTCCGTGCTATTCAAATAAGTGGTGTCAGTTCTCTGAATCTTAGTTTCTACTTTTGTAAAATAGAAAGGATGTTTAAATGACCTATCTCATGGGGTTGTTGTGTGGCTCCACTAGAGGAGGCATGCAAACTATACAAGAGCATTGAAAAAAAAAATCCAACATTATGCAAATTGAACAAATAACATTATTTTAAAAACAAAAAATTTCTAGCCTGGCCCGTGTGGCTCAGTGGTTGAGTGTTGACCTATGAACCAGGAGGTCAGGGGTCAATTCCCGGTCAGGGCACATACCCGGGTTGCAGGCTCGATCCTCAGTAGGGGGTGTGCAGTAGGCAGCTGATCAATGATTTTATTTCATCATTGATTTTTTTATCTCTCTCCCACTCCCTTCCTCTCTGAAATCAATAAAAATATTTTTTTTAATTTAAAGCAATTATATGAAAAGTATTCAGAGGACTTTCCAATATTTCATTAGAGGTGCCCACCCACACCAACTCATAGTCCACGAAAATATGGTTTGGCAGGATTATGTCTAACTCCTGTGAATTATTTCAGGCAGGCATGTATACCTACCACCTCCAACAATAAAAACAAGCTGCACTTTACCCCTGAATAGTTTTGGAATTCATTTAAAAGTTTCAACATCTAGTAACAGTTTTATGACTAACCCAGATTTCTTGGGAAAATACTCTTTATATTATGATATAAGAGGAATAAAATGCAGCATATTATTATGAATCTGAATTTCTTTTGATTTTTGTTCTCCATTCTAAACTCATTTGATTTAACAAAAATGTCATACTAAAATGTTTACAATAAACATTACATCAAGTCTTAATTATACTTATAGTGAAAAATCTTTATTTCTAGAAAGGAAGTTCGTGTTCCTGTAATTTCGTCTTTTTCAGGTAGAAAAGAAATAAGAACATATATACCAAGACTGCACAAGCAAACTGAGTACATGGAACGGACTGTGGCACTGAGCCCAGGTGCTTCAGCAGGCATAGATGCTTCAGATACATTTACAGGACGGCTCCGGAAGTATTTAAACTCAAGAATTACCCAACCATGTGGCTAGCACATTTTACCTAATGCTGAAAACTAAATGCTGTAATGCTAAAACCAAACTTTCTATTCTACAAGTTTCATTTATCTAATAACATTTCCACTAATTGTTTTACAGCTTACACATTCAAACGTCTTGCAAATAACTCTACTACATTTTTTCAGATAAAAGCAATTTAAATTCAAAAACTGGTTTTCTTTAACTAGCTGCCTTTTACTAACCAAGTCTTTACAATACCAAACATTAAACACAGGGCTCTGTAGATAAGTCATGTTTCCCAGCAGATGGTCTCTATTAATGGCTATGTTCATCTGACACCAAACATCCTCTACAACCCACAATCCTATGCAAAAACTGTAGTTTTTTCCCTTCATGACCTTATTAACATAATTTTTGAAAATGCATAAGTATTATAAAATTAAAATATTGTTATTTGCATTATAGTTTTGGGGGAAAGAGTAGAAATATAGAATTCATCATTACAAACTTTCCCAAAATAAAATTTATATAGGGCCTGTAATAATAAATTATAATAGCAGTTTCCAAATATAAATTTCAATTAAATTGCTGCTGTATATTCAATTATATTTTATGAAAATTCAAATATGTACATAAATAATATAAGCTATATGCCGATATATAATATTAATGTACTTTTAGGAACAATGAAAATGATACTTTTATTTTGCATACCCATGGATCAAAGCCTAGGGTATAAGACATTCTTCAGAGAAAAGCCTTCAGTGTGAGCTTCTCTTAAAACATTAGCAACTGCGATGATGACTCCCTTACTTCAGAAAGTGAATTGCTATGCTCTCCTGCAGATTCAGAATAAAAGAAGTGAGTTCAAAACACTGATAGGAAATGAAGTTGGAAGACTCACACGACCTGATTTTAAGACTTACTAAAAAGTTACAGTAATCACATCAGTGTAGTATTGAAAAAGGAATAGACAAATAAATGGAACACATGAGGAAGTCCAAAAATAGGCTTACACAAATATAGTAAATTGATTTTTTACAAAGGTGCAAATAAGGACGGATAGTCTTTTCAACAAATAGTATTAGAATGCATAACTGGACATCCACATGCAAAAAAATGTACATTAACCCATACCTCACACCTTTATAAAAACTAACTCAAAATAGATCATAGACAAATATGTAAAATCTAAAATTATAAAACATCTGGAAGAAAAAATAGGAGAAATTCTAATGACTATATTAAATAGAATTCTTAGATACAACACCAAAAGTACACCCATAAAAATTGATAAATCAGATTTTATAAAAATTTAAAATATTTTCTGTATAAATGTACTGTTAAGAGAATGTGAGAACGCCCTAGCTGGTTTGGCTCAGTGGACAGAGCGTCAGCCTGCAGACTGAAGGGTCCCAGGTTCGATTCCAGTCAAGGGCACATGCCTGGGTTGCAAGCTCAATCCCCAGTGGAGGGCATGCAGGAGGCAGCTGATCAATGATTCTCTCTCATCATTGATGTTTCTATCTCTCTTTCCGTCTCACTTCCTCTCTGAAATCAATAAAAGTATATTTTTTAAAAAAAGAGAATATGAGAAAATATTTGCAGATCATATACCTGACAAATGACTCATATCCAAAATATATAAACAACAGCAATTAGGAAACAAGCAACCCAATTAAAACTGAACAAAATATATGAATAGATAATTCACTAAAGAAGATATAGAGATGGAAAGTAAGCACATGAAAAAATGTTCAATATTATTATTCACTAGGAAAAATGTAAATTAAAACCACAATGACATACCACTACACACCTATCTGGCTAAAAAGAAAAAGGAAAATGACGAAACCGCATGCTGGCACAGATGCAGGGCAACTAGAACTCTTTTACATTGCTTGTGAGAATGCAAAATGGTACTGCCACTTTGGAAAACATTGTAATAATTATTTCATATAAAGTTAAATATACACTTACCATGTAACCCAGAAATCAACTACCAAGTACTTATCCAAGAGAAATGAAAACTTATGATCATACAAAAATCTATCCATGAAGATTTAAAGCATCATAAGTTATAATTGCCAAAAAAATAAATAACCTAAAGGCCCATCAGCATGTATCTAGATAAACAAACAATGGTACATCCATAGAGGGCCACAATGGGTTCTTAAACTGGACCGGAGGGCCGGAACAAAAGCATGGATGGAGTGTTTGTGTGAACTAATATAAATTCAAAGTAAACATCATTACATAAAAGGGTACGGTCTTTTTTTTTTTTTTTAGTTTTATCTGGAAAAGGCAGTACTGTGAAAATGGACAACAAACTGTGGTTCCCATATATGGTCAATTGTTTTTTCACAAAGGGAGGACGTTATTTAAGGAGGAAAGGAAAGTCTTGAACAAATGGTGTGGGTCTGAGAACTCTCTAGGGTAATGACCATGTTTTAAGTGTTAAGTGGGGTGATGCTTACATGGTGTTTGCATTGATTAAAACATCAAATTGTACATGTAAGATTTGTTCACTTCACTGTATATCAATGCTACTTCTAAAAATAATAAATTGTTCAGTAGAAGAAAATGCAGGGCATATCACAAGGCACCCTTCATACAGTGAACAAATGGCTACTTGAAGAGAGTGTATTAATTCATTCAAATTCACAGAAAAAGGCCTAAGTTCACATAAGGCCCTTAGCCTGGGAAGAATATATAACCTTCTGATTCCTAAGTCTCCTATCTTGAGAACAAGGGACCTATTATTAAATTCAATATGAAAAAAACCATATACATACCATATGTTATTCCTGATAGGGCAGGAATGACAGTTAATAATAAATTAAGTTGACAAAAATTTATATAAGAAAAAATATGATTAGGTTAACTACTCATAGCTTCTGTTCTCAATGGAATCCAACATAGAAGACATAATACATATCACAGTCAATTATTTTGCTACAGGGTCTGCAACTGCAATTCTTATACAATGTTAGGAGGAATAACAAATTTCAACCCCAAAGAATTAAAATGATGGTTCACATAAGAACCCCTATAAGTGGAGTAAACTGGATAAAAAAGATACCTACACTGAAACTGACAATATTTTACCAAACCTCTTAACCTTTTATTTTAAAAGTAAATAAAGGCAATACAATTTTGGCAATCAATTGATCAATGTATTGAGATACTTTAACCAGAAACCCATCTACTTCCATACTTGAGTGAAAGACGATTCTTAGTACTCGTGCACACACAAGACATATCCATTTATGTTGGCATGATCATATGTATCACTTGTGCCTAACAAGTTTATGTGGTAATCAGGAGGTCTTAACTGACTTGACAATGGCATTTCAAAAAACGCTCTGTGGAAACTGCATACCTGTGCCCTCTTCTGCACCTCCAGGAGGAGCTCCGAGTACTGCAGCTCCAGCTCCTTCTTCTGCTTCTGCCAGCAGCCCTCCTGGGCTTTGATCTGCTCGGCCACTTTGTTGAAGGTGTCTTCTTGGGTCTGCTGAAGCTCTCTCATCGTATCAGACTTGTTTTTACAGATATACTCCAGATGACTTATCTAAATGGCGAAGTGCAACAGAGAATAAGCTATGCTGACAAGCCATTTCCATGTATTCTCCAAAAAAACATCCAAAATGTTCTAATATATTTTATTCCTTAAGATCATATAAACATTCTAAGTTAAAATGAAAACAAAAGAAATGCTGATGCCTAGCCAGTATGGCTCAGTGGTTGAACGTCAACCTATTAACTAGGAGGTCACAGTTCGATTCCTGGTCAGGGCACATGCCGGGTTGTGGATTCGATCCCCAGAAGGGGGTAGCCAATCAATGATTCTCTATCATCATTGATGTTGCTATCTCTCTCTCCCTCTCCTAGACTCTCTGAAATCAATAAAAATAGATTTTTTAAAAAGAAAATAAAGAAATGATGAAATAGGAATTAGTATGGCAAATTATATTTTAGCACAAAATGGTGTCATATGTATGCTTAGATGACAAATCTTTTATTCTTCTCTTTCTAAGAACATTGCTCATTCTAAGACCCATTTTACTAAAAAAATAATAATAATAATTGAGAAGAATATTCTTACTTCTAGATCCAAAGCTCAATCTATTAAGATATCTCAATGGGAAAGAAAGTATTTAAATGAGATTTACATCTACAAACATGACACATATAACAAAGCAGAATTTTCTAATCATTTTTTATTTCACATTCAAAATACCAGAAAGAAAATCGTCTAACATGTATGACAATTAATGATGTTTTGAAACTATGAAAATCTATTAAAGCATAACAGCATCTCAGAGGGTTAAAACATGAACTCATTTTAATTATCAGTAATTTTCAAAGCTATGATACACACATTCACAATCACGAACAGCCTCTGTGGCTCACAATTATTCTCTCATTTCCTCAATCTCACTTCTCAGTGCCTATGGTAGCGTTTGCCAATCAGACCAAGGTAAAATGCTCTAACTCACCCTTAAATTGGGCCAAGGTTAAAAATAAACTTTGGGGAACAGTTTTTCTTTTCATGTCTCTTAAGAGCAAATGTCACTGCAACTAAGATCTGGAAACTAGACCACGTAAACATAGTTCTGACTAGTTCAATAGACCCAGGATAAGAATCAATATCTTTAATGGTGACATATGTTAGTCTCCTAAGCCATTTTGATTTTCTATAACCAAAAGAAAGTTTAAAAATTTTTTTGAAAGACTGAATTTCTAAGCCTGTGAATGATAAAGTGACTATAGAAGTCTACCGTTTTCTCATAAAATATATACTTCTTACAATCTAAAGCACTAAATGGGTTTGGTAATACAGTTTGTTATATTTCAAGAAATGTTATAAACATAAATTAAAATTTTAACTGCTTTTAATACCTCATTATTTCCTAAGCAAATAATTTTAAGATCATGTTTTTGAAGAACTGTATCTTGTTTCTATTTTATGCTAACATAAAGAGTTGGTTTATTAATGTAAATGGCTAAGTTCTTTGAATTGCTTCATCAGTAAGATTAATTTATTTTCTTTTAATTAGGTCCCTGTGGCTAATACTGGCTAGTAGTATTAGCATGTCCTGCACAGAAAGTGGAGCTTAGAGACTTCATACAGACTTCAGTCACATTTACATGCCCACAGCAATGGCATCAAACTGAGTGGTAGACAAGCCATAATTAATGGTATTGAATTATTAACATCCAAATTCTTTTTGAAATAAGATGAATGTCAGCCCCTCTTAATGATACTGTGATGTGGACAAATGTCACTGAATTTAATAGAGGTATCTGGTGCCTGAGGACAGTTACCTTCTCATTAGCCCTGTTGAGGTCTGCGATCAGGGCATCAACATTTTCCTGCAAGACTGCACAAAGCTCAGACCAAGAGAATTTATCCAGCATGCCTTCTGGTTGTTTTATGAGCGCACAGCCTGCTATCAAATGCTGGTACAAGGTATGAAGGAAGGTTAGCTTCTCCTGTGAGAAAAAAAAAGGAAATTAATTACAGTATATAAACATTGTAAGAAGTAAAACACATAATACACATGGTAAATAATTTATTTCAAAAACTTGGGAAGGAATTAAAATACTCAAGTCTCAGAATATTATCACTTTGGTGATTTTTTTTTTTACAATCAAAACTAGCATCAGAAAGAAACTGGAAATGGTTTACACTTAGTTTTCAAAACCAAATTCTGAAATCTATAAGCCAGACCAGAGTTCTGACCCAGCTCTGCTACTACCGAGGATGTGGTCTTAGTAAGTGCGTGTTCAGGCTTCAACTTCCTCAGCTGTAACCGAAGGAATCTGAACAAGTTGGTTCAAAGCTCTCCTAACTGAAAGTCTGTGTGGTAATTCTGTAATTTCATATTTACATTTGCTAAAACAGATGTTATTTTAAGTCAAAACACCATTACAGAGAGAAGAGTGTTACTCAACTCTGTCAGAGAAAACGTTACGCCAATATCTGTTCTTCACAGGTACACAATTACTCAGCTTTCGTCCCCCTCCAGAGATTCCAGCTTACTTCCCACTTATAGGAAATCTATCCCAAGCCCCTTAGGCAAAGCAGACAGTGATATGAAAGATATGGAAGATGGGCTCATTTATTTTGCCCGCTTATAAGTTCATATAGTGTTTGGCACAGGGGCATTTGTAGGTGTTCAAACACTACAGAGGAAGAATCAAAAAAATGAACATAGCTGCTCAAGATATACTTTCAAAACCATCCAATTAGAACTATGTAGAAAAAGTTCTTTAAAATTATACTGCCATTATAATAACAAAACTATCCATTGTTTAATGACATAGAAATACTCTGCTGTAGAAGTCAGTAAAAAGCTGATCCCATCTTGAACACACAAGGAAAGTTTACTTATTAAAACGCCCGATGCTGTCTTTATAAGGTGTTTCCCCTGTACAGTCCCAAAGAATGGAACTCAAGACAAAGGAACTGTGAAGCTTCAAAATGAATACTTTATGTAGATAAAATAAGTTCCCTCAAGATTTTTTTAATATATGAGCAAAAACAAAAATTGTTTAAAGGGGAGATGTTAAGAGGGAAAATATAGAAATTCTCATCTTCTCGATAAGAAAAACTGAATATGTGTGCAGTGTTGCTCAGTTGGTTGAGTGGCATACCATGTACCAAGAGGTCACTGGTTTGATTCCCGGTCAGGGCACATGCCCAGGTTGCAGATCCCAGTAGGGGGTGTGCAGGATGCAGCTGATTGGTTTCTTTTCTCTCTCATTGATGTTTCTTTATCTCTCCCTCTCCCTCCCCCTCTCTTTAAAATCAATGAGAACATATTCAAATAGAAAAGAAAAACTTGATACAGAATATGTAAAGGTTTGTAATTAAAAATTTGTGGGCAAAGTTTCTTTGGGGAGAAATTAAGATACACACATATCTTAATTCTCTATATGCCATCTTACTTTTTTCCAAATATAACTATTTAAAAACAAAAGAAAATTAAATATGTGATTAAAATCATAAACTTGAGTTAGCATATCAGAAGAGTCTTCATAAATATGCTATGCCTTTTTCTTTTTTAAGCAATTAAAGATGTCTTTTGCATTTTCAACTGGGCTGAGATGTTTAAAAATCTTATTAAATATAACTAAGCAAACGTAATGTTCAGGCACTTAAAAACCTCCCCCCTGCACATTTTGCCATGGAGTTCATCCTCAAGGATAATTCATTGTGTCGCCATTATGTCCTTTTTGCTTGGGCTGTGATAAACCATGCATGATAATCATCCATTTGGCGTGAAAAGAGAATCTCAAGATCCAAAATCAATTCACACATGTTGAACCCAACCACATTGTTGTAGACATGCTGACTTTACAATATAGTCAGGCTTCTAGTTTCCTTTCCTTTAATCACTATCTGATGTGTAGAACAATTCCAGGCCCTTCATGTGGACACAATTTAAATCCCAGACTGCAAGAAGAGGGGAAGGAATGTTTCCTTTTTACACTCTTGGCATGCATGTTCATATTTGTTGAAGTAATGAGCTCAATATGCCGGACGACTCAGATAAACCAGTTTCACACTAGCCAGACTAGCTCCACATCCCCTGGGTAAAAGAAAATATAATTTCATTCACCCAGCTCATACAGAATATGAAAGTTTTGTCATCATACTTTAAGAAGTGATTTAATAAATGAAAATGAAAATGATAGGCCACTCTCTAGGGCACCCAAATAAAGTTTTAATTTTGTGGGATTTGTGTTTTTCTAAATTTTTATATAGTAAATATTATTCCTGTTTTGCAAATAAAGAAACTCGGATGTGGAGAGACTAAGCTGTGTGACTTGTTCATACTCATAGTTTGTAAATAAAAGCCCCAGGACCCCAGTCCAGTTCTTTCTGATTACAAAAACAAAAAAAAAACACACACATATTCTTTCTACCAGACCTAGCTACTAACTACTGAAATCTAAAAAATTATTTTATCATTAGCAATCAGGCCAACCTTGAAAGGGCTTTTAGGATCACTCTTGTTGAGATAGGTTACTTGTACAAGTGATAGAAGGGTTAATCTACATTACTTCTTCCTTGAAACAGGATGGCACAGAGTAATGGAGTGACTGATTTTGCAGCTGATAGGCATATTTCAAAACAGTCAGCTCAGAAGAATTTTTTTAATTAAACCAATTAAGAGTAAAAACAGCCAGCTGAAGTATGTACATTTATAAAACTGAGACTAGTGAAAGGCCTTTCCTGACGGTCATCTTGACTCAGGTGGTACCTCGGAGTCCTTGTGGAAAGCCTGGGAAAGCTTCTGCAGTTCACACTGGGACTGGGCCGCTTGTGCCTTCTCTTTCTCCCAGCAGTGAAGCACGTTCTGTAGCTCCACTTTTAAAGTGCCGACCAGCGCCTCTCTATCTGCACACTTACTGCGCAAATGACTCAACTCCTTATTGGCATCAGCCAGCTTATCCTGAAGGTCCTGTAGGAGACACCAAAAATAGAGGTCGCATGATGGCGGGCCAATACAGAGGTGGGAGGCACAAATATAAAGTACATAACGAAGACTTCCAAAACTTCAACATAAAAGAATCACAAAGGCAAGCATTTGTCAAATATTATGGTTTTTTATTAAATATATTGTCTAAGTACAATTATTTTAGCTGTAAAATTAGAAAATTTGTTTTTTTAGCGTTTAAACATAAAGTGTTAATAAGACAGCTTATTCCAAGAAGTTCTTTTCTTTCAATCCATTAAAAAAATTGGTAACCCCAAAACCTTTAAATACCATATAAACAACATCTTAAGAATAAATCTTATACTTAATAGAAGAACATTTCCTTCTTCATGAAATCCCAAATGCTAATACAAATCTAAAATATGTGGCATAAAATTCTGAACTAATTATCCTTAACCTTAAATTCTATAAAGTACATCAAGGACAAATGCAATATAAACCAACAAAAAAAAATCCAACACTACTGAGCAACTCTGAGAGATGCTTCAGTATAGTTCTGCAAAAACATATTACATAAAAGTGGCACAGAAAATAAAATAAACAATTTTCCTGGACTCAAGGCAGGTGTGGTCTTGGCCCATTACTAGGCATGACATACTAAAAACAATGGCTCCACCCTAAAATGATGGAAACTGACTCCAAATACTGATGTGCTTATGTAAAATGTTTACTACGTATCTAAGGGTGGACATTAAACCTTAAATTTGTAATCCATGGTATTATAATTAAGTCTGGGAAATAAATGTTTCCATTAATCAGAACAATTTATAATCAAGTTTTATTTTAAATGGAAAACATTCTTGTTACTTTGATCAATAATAAAAAATTAAAGTTGTATCTAAATGTATTTAATAAGAAATAGGAAGCCATATTTTCAGATATCTCTACCATAAGGTTTCCCTAAATAATTATATTTGTCTCTAAATACAAAAGAAAAAGTTTTTTTAAAATCAATACCTTTATATTTTTAGTGTGAGATTCTATCTTCTGTTTGGTAGAATCAAGTTCAGTAGATGTCTTTTCCTTGGCATCATTCACACTGTTTAGCTGATAAAAGAAAACGTAAATAACTTTTTTATATTTTTCAAGGATGGGTAACTCAAAAGCTAATCTTTACATGTTTTTTATGCAATTACTTAATATACACTTTTGAATAGTAATTAGGAGTCTTAAAAATTTCTTTTGGTTAACTAGGTAATGTCTGTCACAAGCTCACATGGTTAAAAAGAAAAGAAAGCATTCAAGCTTAAAATGTCAGTGATGTTACTGTGTTTTCACTAGATGTCTGGACAAAGGATTTCATTCTCACTATAAACAAATATAACTTTATTCTTAAAATCCTTCTGGACCAAAATGCCAGAAGCAGTGGCATCTATAAGGAAAGAAAAAAGGACAGAGCAGAAGACGGCTCTTTCCATACATCATGAGGGTATTCACTGGTCTCTCACTCCATATGACAACTTCAGGGTCGGTCACATGCAGTCCTACTGGGAAGGCTTGTGGCAGGTCATCAGTTGGTCCTGCTCTGCTTGTGATTTATTTTCTTTGACAGTTCATTCTTCTTTCTGTCAGACTGCTCTTTTTGCTTTCTTTGCAGCCACCCCCTTGGTCTCCCTACTGCTGTCTCTGGCACTGGTTCACAACAAAGCGCATTACTAAGCCAAAGCCTGCTGAGCCGACTTTTCAACTGTGCTGAGGATCATGTGACATCCATCCTCCCAAATAACAATTCGCTGTGGGTAATATGTTCCTAGTTACCCTGCAGCTTCCAGTCCGAGGCCTCAGAAGAGTTTCATAAACTACTAACAATACAGGTTGTCTTGTCTCACAGGGAAAGATTTAGCAATATTTATTCTCTATAGAAATGTAATTATTTCAATGGTCACTTTCTTTTATGCCTTTTGAACAATTAAGAAGGCTCACTTTTCCTTCTTTATTCACCTTCTTAAACTAAAGTAAAATAAGCCCCTTCTGAAATGTGAACTGTAATAGTTTCATAGTCTTCATATTGTATGAATGAAACAGATGAACAGAGGATAAACACTAAATTCCATGCTATGTAGTTTGTTTTTGGTTCAAACAATGTCTGTTGTTTTACTAATTGTATTTAATGTAATTACTTTATATTCTCTAATTTGACAAAATGTGACTAAGCAAACTCTTCAATTTTTAAACCACAAATTCATTAAATATTTTAATACCCAAGAAAATTATCAAACCCACACATTAAATAATACAAATGAGAGGATAAACAGAAGCATGAGCTTTTTCAATCAGCTAACTAAAACCTTCCAGGCTGCATCAAAGAGACAATTGTTTTTAAAAAGTTTTATCAACACTTTACTCACTTTAAAGAATGAAAACTAACATCTCTTTTTTATTCAGACTTGTACAACTTGTAGAAATCTTAACCTAAAATATTAACATCTAAATTTCCACTACCTATTGCAAATTCATAAAACCACATTAAAATTTAAATATAACACATATTAACTGAAATGACTTGCATAGCTTTTATATTAAATTAAAATAAATAGATTTTGAAGTCCAAGAGTAGCAGAGTCTTTATAACTTTGAAAATAAGAGTGTGACCTAAGTTACAAAAACATAAATGAGACACGACTTTAGGCCACACTTAAAGAACAGTGACAGACAATTTATTATTTTTATATCTGTGAAGCTGCCAAGTCAATATTCCCAATTTCTTTGACCTTTGTAACAAGCAAGGGATACGTACTGCTGCAGGCCGAGGGCTATAAGTGTGGAGCCAAACAGTGCAAGTGTTACCTCATTAGATGTATCTTCCAGCTTGTTCTGGTAATCTGTCAAGGTACGCCTCAGAGTCTCAAGGACAACAGAGAAGCTGGGAGGTTTAGCTTTGTCTTTGTGGATGCCTAGAGAAAAACTTAGGATGAAAGTATACCCTTCACATTACACGGAGACAAAAGCTAAGCAAACAGTAACAGAGATATTACAATTAGACAGAGCTGAAAACACTGAAATACTGCGTTGAATCATTCTTCAGAGTGCACTGCTGCATAGTCAAGTATTTATAGTCTTTCTAAACAAGTGGTCAAATTAAGTTCATAATATGCCAAGTTCTAATTTATGGCCACTTCATACCTTATAAAGCCCACACTGTAGTCAGTAGTGAACTCTTTTTTCCCCCTATCCCCTAAGTAACCAAAATGTTTGTACACACCTAATATCTAACAATTAAATGAACAGTCTACACTAACATTGTTTTGGGAGTTATGTACATTTACTTTGGTCCTTGTGTTTCTGATCAGTCAGGCCTATTTAGCTAAAATAATAATTTCTGAACCCAAGGGCACATAATTTTCTGTTATGCTTGGAAATATTTTTCAATCCTTAAAATTCTCAAGTTACAATTTAAAATAATGAATATGTTATTATCTACATAGGCCCACATCATGTTTCAATTAAAACCCTTAAAACTGATACTCCTTGTAAAAATATGAGTATTTCCGTATTATGCCCTCAAACTATTTTAATTTTGTTAGGCCATACATTAGTTGAGCTAATCAAGGTCACATGGGAAAATGTAGTTCAAAATATTAATCCAAAATAATCAAAAGTTTAGTTTCAAAAACCACTTTAAATTGACTGCTTATTGTACTACGCTTTGTAAAAAAAAAAAAGTAGCAAATTTTAAAATATACTTATTACAAATATATTTTATCCTATTATTTCTCCCCATAATATACATTCTAAATACTTCAATAGACAACACATTTCAACAAAGATAATTTTTTAAAAGCATTCATATGATATGTTTTATTATTCATTGATTCATTAAATCAACTAATTTACTGAATTACTATTATGTACTAATCCTAGGCATTAGGCTCATGGAAGTAAACAAGATTGGTACAGTCTCTGTGCTCACAGAATTTACAGTCTAAAAAGAGGAGAGACAGAGACCGTAAACAAATAATTATATAAAATCATTCATCCATTCTTCAAGTATGCAATTGTAGAATTTAGGGGGAATAAGAAAAAACACAGTAATAAAGGGAAAAAAAGAGGGAAATATTTGGTTAATGATAGACCAACTTTATTCACCTCAGAGTATTGATGACTTTTAGTATTTTAATCTTAGACAAGATTTTATAAATAAATTTATTACATTCATCATAGTATAATTTAAATACTATCTTAAGTATGGATACACCTCAGATTTTCCTAAACAGAAGAACATAAACTTAGAAAACAAAGGTAATATGGAAACAACACATATCCCAGCCAGGAAGGAAAAAAACGACACTGCTGTAAGCCATAATAATGGAGAAGACAATACTCTATAATGACTGAGTTGAAAAGACAACTCATTAAAAATTTTATTAATGGTCTAACCAAATATATATATTTATAAAATTGCTCTCTTGCACAAGATTTTAAAAAAGTAATATATAATTCTTTTCTTTTGCTACTATACAAGTAGGCCATGAATAAATCATTAAAGGACACTAAAATCTGCTAGCATTTATAATAAGGGAGAAAACGTCCTCTTAGAAATTCAGAAGAATAAAATCATCTTAATATGAATGTTGAGGGGTAAGGAACAAAATGCCCTCTCCTAACTGACCCATACACATTCTTATATTCTACATAAAATAAAGTTTCATTTCTTTTTTTTTCTTTTTTTTTAATATATTTTATTGATTTTTTACAGAGAGGAAGGAAGAGAGAGAGTTAGAAACATCGATCAGAGAGAAACATCGATCAGCTGCCTCCTGCACACCTCCTACTGGGGATGTGCCCGCAACCAAGGTACGTGCCCTTGACCGGAATCGAACCTGGGATCTTTCAGTCCGCAGGCCGACACTCTATCCACTGAGCCAAACCAGTCAGGGCAAGTTTCATTTCTTTGTCTGAAAATGTTTATGCAATAAAGTTCAGTTGAAATACAAAGAATGTTTTATGTCCCAACCACATCCATTATAAAAAGACGAGTGGCTCAGTACACAGATTCAGGCACATTGAAAGGAAATTAATTAGAAGAAATATTTTAATATCACTATTCGACCTTTATAATAGAATTCACGATCGACAATGACAGATCAAAACGCAAGTGTGCGATTGGCACCAGCAAGAGCTTTATATGTATTGTGCATGCGCGAATCAACATTTATTTTTAAACTAGAGGCCCAGTGCACAGATTCGTGCACTAGTGGGGTCCCTCTGCCTGGCCTGCACCCTCTCGCAATCCAGGACCCCTTGGGGGATGTCGGAGAGCCAGTTTCAGCTCGATCCCCGCAGGCCAGGCCAAGGGACTCCACTGGTGCACGAATCCGTGCACCAGGCCTCTAGTATGCATATAAGATCTATGCATATAAGATCTTTGGTTAATTTCTTCCCGCCCTCCCTTCTCTCCCCTTCCCTCTGAGATTCATCAGTCTGTTCCTTGTTTCCATGCCTGTGGTTTCCGCTTCTGCATTGAGCGTCTGTTCCCTGGTGGTCAGTGCGCATCATAGCTACCAGCCGGTCGGTCAGTCAGACAATCAGACAGATGTATGGTGGGTCACTTAGCCTTTTATATATAGATATACTTATTGGTCCCTTTACATGGCAAAATGGTTATAAATAAAAAGGAAGGATCACTCAGGACCCTGGACCTTACTGACTGATTTAATTTAATCTAATAATATTCTAATCACTGCACTATGGCCACCAAAAAAAATAAGCTATTAAAGTTTTCCTATCAAAGTGAAGTCTAAAAATTTTTTTTGAATAGTGGTCATAAATGGCTTTTCAAAAGTCAAAGTCCAAATGAACAAAAGAATGCTTCAGAACACTTTGTACTTCAGTAACACCAAGTGAAAATCTTCTGGGTTTGTTTGTCCCTCACCCTGTATGTGTGTGTCTCTGACATGGGCACCAGCCTACATTTTCACATCATCCTGCCTGTTTCAATCTCTCTCACTTTTAAGTACATGTCAACCCGATAATCTTTTTAAGCTCACAGGAGGGAGCAGGGCATAAGAAAAGATTCCAAGCCCTCTATTTAAATGTTTCCCTTTAGACAATCTCAAAAACTAAGTATTTTTATATGACTCAGGTAAACCACTATTCTTCAAGTTGGTGTTATTACCTCAGTAACCTACCGTTCCACAATAGAAATAGTTGCAATGAATGAGGTGACTCTATCTCCCCCACCTTCTCAAGCATTGTCTTACCTAGTTTAGTCTCCTCAAAGACCCCTAAAGGGAAAAATTAATCAAGAGAGAAGATGAGAAAAAGGACTGAGCTTTAAAAAAAAAAAAAGTATGGGTTCTCAAAGAAGCGTGCAACCCTTTACCAGGGCAATCATGCACTAGGGAAGGGAAGCTAACAAGACTTATGAGGGTAACTGGACACTAAAATGCTACTGTGGTTCACTAGTTAGGGTAGGAGTTTATAGCGGTCAGGTGATTGAGTTTTGGCTAAGGTCTGTCTCCAGTGGGCCTAGAAGATACTTGAACCCACCTCACAGTTATGTCCCCAGTTTGGAATGCATAGTTAGAAAAGACAAATGCAGAAACTGACACACTATCCATACTGGTTACCAGACCCATGGAGAGAGGGACTTACAGGGGGATAAAAAGCAAATGGAAGTTACTAGAACTCTTACCTAGGAAAATAATAAGTCAAAAGCAATGCCACATTCCTTGAGAGACTTCAGAGATTAGTGCCTCTTTTAAGGATTTAGAAGATAAAAGGGTGGTTATTCCAACCACACCAGCATTCAACTCACCTATCTGGTTTCTGCAGAATATAGATGAATGTTAGAGAATGACAGTAAATTACTGCAAGCATAATCACATTGACTCCAATTTAGATGCAGTTAAAGATGTAGTGGGGTTTTTTTAAGATGTAGTTTTGTTGTTAGAGGAAAACAGTACATTTCTTGACAACTTAGAATGAAGCTATTTCTTTTATCCTTTTAATAAAACCCACCAAAACAGTTTCTTTCAACTGACAAGGCCAGCAATATACCCTGACTGCCCTACCACAGAGCTATAGCAACTCTAGCCCTCCATCATAATCTACTCTGTAGAAATCTGGATCAACTCTCCATTCCAGGCATCACATGTTCCACTTAGGTCTCTACCAAGACATCATTCTGATTGCTCAAGTTTAAGCAAGTCAAGTTTGGCAGGTCCTTAGAGGTGAATCTAGAGTGAACTTTTAAGATTTGGGAACAGAGCAAGCCATCCTCTACAAATAACTATTCTCCTCTTGAAAATCAGCCTTAGACTTGACAGGCTACCAGTCCTCAGCAGATGCTGCATTCGTGGCCACCATTGTACCATGAGTTGTCCATCATAAAATGCTTATTGTCTGATCTACCAACCCATAATCTGAACATACACAACAGCACTCTATCATAAAGTGAAAGTGTATATACAAAACTGGGTCCAAGCAAGTCCTGAAGGCACAAGTAAGTTGCAGGAGCAAATAGTACAGATTCCCATGAGCCCTATTCTTGTTACATTGCATGCTCTCTCTTAACCCAAATCCTGGACCCATGAAAAGTTTTCTATGATCAGTTGGCTAATGAAGAAAAATATGGGCTTCATATATACTAGTAGATGGTTCTGTATGATAAGCTGACACTACTTAAAAGTAGACAGTTGCAGCACTACAGCTCCACTCAAGGGTGACCCTGAAGGACAGTGGTGAAGTAAAATCCTCCCAGTAGATAGAACTTCAAGTAATAAACCTAATTGCCATTTTTCCTGAAATGAGACATAATCAAAGGTAAAAAATATACACCAATTTATGGGTGGTAGTTAACAGTTTGGCTGAATAGTCAGGGACTCAAAGAGATCACAATTGGGAAATTGGTAACAAGGTAGTCTAGGCAAGAGTATGTGTGTGGATAAATCTC